AAACTTTTTTTGTCAGTTGATTAATTATTTTACTGGATTAACGATCTATTATTTTCGTGTACGTTAGAAAAAAGAATATCAAACAACATCTTTTGGTAATGCCATTAATGGCGATAGTGGTGGCTTAGCTTGAAATATTCATTGTCAACTAATTATTGTAACTTTTGACACAATCAATCGAAGAATTTTGACAAGACCTTCTATGAAATCTACTCAAGTAGAGATAATGTACAACATAGTGTACTTTTTCAGACATGAATAAGTACAAGTACTAATACCTATTTCAAAAAAGAAGACGCGTGGGTATTTTTCGGATAACTTTTGATAGAAGCAAGATAGAGAGCTGTGGTTTTCATTTTTGGAAAGAGGAGATGACGGCACATCAAATCATGTAATATAGGTTTTTCTAGTAAACTCTCTGAAGTTTTCTCAACCAGCTTTCTAAAAAAGTGTCGAAAGGTTACTTTTTGATTTTATAATAAAAATACAAAAAAGTGGATTTTTCACAAAAATTAATAGAAAAACCGGCTCAGAATTTCAATTAGAAGACTTATACCTCCAAAAGGACTAAATCTAAAAGTCTAGGCCTTGCGCAGCTTTCTTGCTATTCTGTAAGAGCTTGGAATGCACACCAAATTCTTAAAAATTCACTGTAGCCACCTAACGGAATATGTTCGTTTTCAAAAACGTGGGTTTCAGTGCTTGTAAAAACTAAGTTAAAGTACCTTATGATATCGAGTTGGATGTGCTGTCATCACCTCTTTCCAACGGTGAAAATCGCAGCTCTCTATCTTGTTTCTATCAAAAGTTATTCGAAAAATGTCCACCCGCCTTATTTTTTGAGATGGGCAATAATAATAGACGAATAGAAAACCACAAAATAATTTAGAATTTCTTCTAAAACCCTATAGTAACAATTATAGACATCTATCGATGGTCTTTTTCTGATGTACACAAAACGAATATAATATAGACTATGACTCAACCATAGCTGGTATTAATTTGATTCATTTCACACGACTTCTTGCCTTCATATTGAGACGAACTAATGATGGCTCATTATGTTCTGTTGCTTGTGAATACAATAATATAATAAGCAATGTTTTGTTTCTTTTACATGACAATTTCTGCACCGAAGCGTTCGACACATGGCAACAGCAACTGATACAAATCTTTGTAGTATATGCAATAAAGAAAGACGTACTGTTAAGTGTGAAGGTTGCTCACAATCTTTTTGCTACAATCACTTGGAAATCCATCGTCAAGAATTAAGTAAACAATTAGACGATGTTTAAGTTACTCACGATCTATTTCGACAAACTCTTACTAAAAGAATATCTTAGTCACAACAGCAGTCATCGATAGAATAAATAGATAAATGGGAACAGGAGTCAATCAACAAAATTCGACAAACAGCAGAAGAAGTTAGATAATTTTTATTTAAACATACTACTCAACAAATTACTCAAATATATGGCAGACTACATAAGCTAACTGATCAACTACGTCAATGTTGTCAAGAAAATGACTTTGTTGAAACAGATCTATGTAAATAGAAAGAACAACTGGCTCGGCTACAAGAAGAACTTATCAGGTTGGCAAATATTAGAGTGCGACAAGGTTTTACATCATTTATAATAAAGATTGATATCGATGTATTTGGTAATGGTAAATGTCTGATTTATCATCTGTTGATGGAAACAATGTTACAGAAAATTACGAAGGAGCTAAAAGATCCTAATGATTGAACCAAAGAAAAGTAATTTAGTTGTCTAACATAAGAGCTGTTTTCATCAACACTCAATGTATGAGAACGAAAATGCCTTAGCACAACTTATTAATAATAGGACCTAAACAGAACTATTCAAGTGAATGTTAAATTCAACGTATTATCATTTTCGAATGAGTACATTACGACACATTACTTGTTCTAAAAGAAAATCTGCTTTTTTGATTTCGCTAAATTTCAAAATTAGTCAGTGCTTCTAGTTTTATCTAACAACTATTTACTGATTTAAAATATTAGATAAAATATATTACAAAAATTCTGCATTTTTTTATCAGTCCGTTGCAATCGGACAAGATCTCATAACCATCTTTATGAAAAGAGCAAATTAGTCAGTCTTAGTTGTTTATCTTTTACATCAAGTGCTTTGCCATAAACGATGCATCATGTCAATTTTTTATTCTGATACCAATAATATCAAATTTTTTAATAGAAATCTTGATTATTCCGTCGAAAAGCAACCAAATAATAGTCATTAAGGACAACTTTCGGTATTCATAAGCTTCATGATATTAATTTAAAATGTTTTGTTCATCAATGAAATTTAATGTAATGATATTATTGTGTGCAGTTTTGAAAAATGTATCGAATGGTATTTAATTCAAAGTCGATTGATGCTTTTCGAAATCCAGCATTGAGAAGATCTTTATCATAGCATCCTTATATACTACATACCAGTTAACAAAGTCATATGCAAGAGAGAGAAAAAATATTTTGTCATAATCGTATACACTATTCTATAGAGAAAAATAAAGGTTATTTCATGTATTAGTCATTGTATAGCAGTTGAAAGAAGAAAAGAAATAGTAAATATAAAAAGCACAATGCACATAAATACTATACGAGACAGATACTATCCAGTTGTGAGTCATTGGGTGAGAGCCTTAATAATATCTAATAGTCTAATTTGAATGACCAATGATTTATAATACACAAACTGACTATTATGAAAATAATAAAATATATTTAAATAAGAGAGGATCAGTTGATGGCTGATCGACTCTCTTCTTTTTATTGTACACAGTCAATGGTCGATAGCGATCGTGCTATGCTTGAATAGATTCATACAAAATAGAGCAAAACATGTTTTTCAATGGTGCATATTCATTCATTATTTATATAGACAAAATCGATAAAATGAATGTGTTTTTTGTGTATTATCATGTGAGTTTGTTACATTTGCCAAAAGAAAAAATTTTTTTCTTCAAACAAAAAGTCAGACTAAAGACAATGAAACTCAGAGTTTTGTTTACGAAAAAAAATAATAAAATTCATTTTTTTTATTGTAAAATATATCCCTATTCTAGTGAGTCGTAAATTGATATGAATAACGAACAATTTGTCTATATAGGAGAAGAGAAAAAAGCATTTTCTAATCATATTATGTTTTTAACTATCAAATAGTTACTAGCTGTTCGATCGATTTTCTTCTGTTTTAGATTACAAAATTTATTAATGGCTACTTGCCGTTATGCACGTCACAAAGATAGTCAAGACGTGTTTTGTCTCGATGGTTTTATAGAACCAGATGATGAACCTGAAGATAACCAATCAATACATTATTTTTTCAATATTGCTTACTTAAATGATTCACAACTGCCACCTAAAGTTGATCTTCGTCCACTAATGACACCTGTCGAAAACCAAGCGAAGCTTCCAAGTTGGTGTGTATAAAATATTTGACTTACAATCATGATCTCTATGAGATTTCTATTAATTTAGTGTACCGAATGCTTGTGCAGGTAAATATGAATCTTTCTCAAAGATTTCATAAATGTTTGATTGTAGGAGCTTACGAATATTTATATAAAAGAAATACTGGTAATAATTTTGATGTAAGTCGATTATTTATATTCTACAATGCTCGAAAGGAAAAACAAGGATCAGATGGAAAACTCGAAGTTGCTGGTGTAAGAATACCATATGCTATTGAAGCACTAAAAAAATTTGGTACTTGTGACGAATCACTTTGGCCATACGATTCTAAAAAAGTAAATAAACGTCCTCCTGATGAAGCATTCGAAGCAGCGAAAAACTATACAATATTAGATGAATTGAAAGTTAACGTAGACTTAACTGAAATGAAAAAGTGTCTTGCAGAAGGACATCCATTTATATTTGGTATACGAACATTTCAATTAGACAAGAGAGCGAAAAAAAATGGTATTGTACCAATGCCAAAACCAGGAGACGTGTCGTCAGGAATGCATAGCAGGTTTGATTTTACATCAATTGAAAACTTTCAAGTAAAATTGATCATTTAGACATGCAATGTTAGCTGTAGGATATAGTGATCGTTCACAAGCATTTATCGTTCGAAATTCTTGGGGAGAAAACTGGGTAAATAAGAATATCTTTGAAAGATATATGTATATTTTGTTTTATGTTAGGGAGATAAGGGATATTGTTATATTCCATATGATTATATGACTGATCCAAACCTCTGTCGAGACGTTTGGATTATTCGTCAAGTGGATAATGAAAGTTTTGGAGATGAATATTGGGATAATGATGATTTAACTAATCATTACGAACATAATGACGATGATGTAGAGTTCGATGAGGATGATATTGAACTGATAGAATTAGAATTAGAACTCGAAGAAGAAGAAGAAGAAAAAGAAGAGAAATACGTCAAGAGGATTAACAATAATACTTCAAGTGTAACGTCACACTAATCAAGATAAAAAACCGACGGATTTCGTTTTATTCATTCTAATAATAAACTCATCAAACTAACAAATTAACTTGAGAAAAATTTTTCATTTATGATTTTACTAGTATAATTATTTATAAACACTTATTGAATAAATAGTTAGCTTTAAATTTCTTAAACATATGCACTAAACAGTACAAATATGTATCAGAATTAAAGTAACATCAATATTTAGCAATTGAATTATTCTGTTAAAAAATTATTTTTCTTTGAATGACAAATTTTCCCGCCAAACTATTGTGAATGTGATATGTTCATTCATGTGCTGATAAAACTATTTAAGTTTCTATGGGATGTGCGCATTACTTTTCTTCTATATGTAAAGTGATAAAATCACACAACAAGGAAATGAGAATAGAAGTAAAGGTTTATTGAGTAGTGGGGGCTACCATAAATAGTAATATTAAGATTGCATTTGATAGTTTGTATGAAGAAAATAAAGTTTACTGAAATACTAACTGAACAGTAAGTATTGCTTATTATCAGACCTTAAAATGGACCGTCAGAATTCGAATTTTACCTCTATTTTTCAACAAAGATTTCATGCATAAGAGAACATAGAGTAAAACCTGATATTCAGTGATAGAGGTGGTAATAGTCGTATCCGATAAATGTTTGATTTTTCAACTGAAAGATGAATTTCTCGGGAGATTAATCATTTTGATTCGATTTCTTCGTAAGATAGTGTCAATAGATGAAATTCCAATATTCGAACAGAAAAGGGACGACTGAATTCTATTGAAATTAATCGCTACATATGAAAAATCAGATTAGAACCAGGATTACATATGATCATTTTAATCGACATGATGGAATTCACATTTGTTTTTGAAGAAAATTATCCGTGAAAGTTCAAACTAAACTTTTCTCAGCTTGTACTTTAATTCTGCTAATGTAAAAGATTCGTCAGTCATAACACTATTTGAACCAATTTGAAATTTTATAAAACCTTTCATTGGATTCTATGAATAACTGTTAACTAAAGAGCAGTGGTATTATTGATCTGGTAGAGTCACAATGGGACAAACTTGGAACAGGATGCATTTTTTGAATTAGAAGATTAGACAAAACAGAAGAATATGTGTTAAAGTTGATCGAAAGAAACGAGTGTGGTGATCCGAAGCGGACATAATAATCAAATTAATATGCGAAGTAGGCTGATAGGGTGTTGAAACCGATGAAACGAATGATAAAATGATATTTACTGCTGTCTACGACATGTATTCGGTAGAGTATCATGAGTAAAAAAGAAATCATGCATTGAACATGTATCCGACAATACAAATAAGTTTTTCCAACGAAATGACATTGAATGAATCTGATAAATCAATAGAATCGAAATAGTGAATGTAAACATTTTTTTTTTGACAAAAACTATGACCATGTATATCAATTAGAAAAATTGTTTTAATTTTGATTTATTCGTTTGTTTGACATTTGTTTGATTAAATTATTTTTAAATCTCTCTAATAATATAGTACAAATTTATAACAATAAGAATTTGTGCATTTCACATTTCGACTACTTATGGAAAAGCACTGAACATTTTTTATTAATTCTTATCAAGATCTAGGTTTTTTAGGTGACAAGAATTCTACATTCAAATGAATTTCTTCTGTTATTTATGAAATTGGGACATTATCCAAGATCTATTGGCAATGAACAATATCTGATGATCAGTTCAGAAAGGATGCAAGATCTTGCCATCAAAAAGATTTCTAATATGAATGGAGTTTAGCCTGTGAACTGGAGAGTTACATTTTCTAGACCATTATAGATGCATGTAATAAGCTTCGAGATTTGACTTTTGAGCAGTTATAGGATTTTCTAATCGAACTCTGACTCAAGCTAATTGACATATAATAGAAACCTTCCTAGTCGCACTATGTATTTTTCAACTTTTATCTGGGGTGCGGGTGTGGGGTATAGGTGTTCGTATGGATATGTGTCTTCTTTTCACCCACTTTCACATCCATACACTCCGAAGCTGGAATTGAAACTCCCGTTTATGGTAGATCAAGCATTCAATTGATGTTATAGAATCTTTCGACCATTGATTCCAGGTTAAAAGTCTTTGAGAGGTTATTAAGTGAATTTCCGAGAAAATAAAAATTCCATAATGGCATTGAATGAAAACCACTGATATTAGAGGTCTTATAAACACCTCAGTTAACACATAATTCTAGTTGTACATAAAAATCAACGACAAATTCCGAGTAGGACAGAACGCATGTTGCCTTCGATTGTTTCTTACGAAATGTGTCGCAACATGCAGAATAGAAGATGTTACGCAATATTTTTAAGAGCAGTCTAAAAGAAAAAGAAAACAACGCCAACTAGGAAACGAACACTGGCTCACTCGCTTATGGAACAAGAGTACTAACTACTACACCATTGGCGTCTGTTATTCCCATTTCACTTCTCATTCGAGTCATGCATTAGATGAAAAATGCAACAAATGTACACTTGTTTGTATACATGTAATTGGAATGAAGACAAGAGAAATATGCTATACAAACGAGAATACTCGAACTATTGAAAAAGCTCTTCTTGGTTTTTCACTTCTCCCACATGCCCAAGTTGACTTTCTATTGGGATGTAGATGCGGGTTTAAATTTGAGTGTCAAAAAAGTCACACCCACACCCTAATATTATCGATAGTTTACATCTAACATGAAGTATACAGAAAAACAGATTTATATTTGGAAAATAAAGAAGAGTATTTATCTTGATTTTCTTAAAACATAGCAAAAATATTACTAAGTCCATATGCTTTCATAATTATTACGGCATCAAATAGTATTCTACGTAGCATGATGAGATCTTTTAAATATTCACATTTAGTCCATCATCTTTTCCTATGTATCCTATGACTATGATTGTTTATCATAATACAGTATACAATGACATAATTTCTTTTCTCGCTCTGTACCTGAGTGATAGAACATATGTTGCTCATAGGATTTGAAATAAACATCACTTCTCGAAGTAGCACAAATAGGATCGATCTCCGTATGAGTTTTAGACCAGTCTTTACCGGTGTGGCAGTGACGCAGGCAGGATTTTTTGGTATGCTGGATCTCAGCTTCAGAGCATAGGATCTAGATGATACTTATGGAGGATGATATTGAACTTCAATAATGAGTCTTTATGAAAAAATTTTTACGATTGGAGTTCGCGAAAAAAAAATCTTTTTTTGATTCCCCGAAAATTTTTTTTGGTTTTTGTAATATTCCGTTTTTTAATTTTTTTCCGTAATCTACATCGAATTTCAGCAATATATTTAAAATTTCATCTGGAAGCATGCATCTATTCAGAAGTTATAACGTTTTGAATTTTTGTAAAATGTCGCAAGAATTTTTGGAAATATTCGAAACGTTATAACTTTTGAACGGGTGAATGTCTTTTTGATGAAATTTTAAATCTATCGGTGAAATTCGATGTAGATTACGAAAAAAAAATTAAAAAGCGCAATATTACAAAAGCCAAAAATAAATTTTTTGGGGGATCAAAAATAAATTTTTTTCGCAAACTTCAATCGTAAAAATCTTTTCATAAAGACTCATTATTGGAGTCCAATATCAATCTCCATAAGTTTCATCTAGGTCCCACGCTCTGAAGCTGAGATCCAGCTTACCGAAAACTCCTGGCTGCGTCACTGCAGTGTGATCTATTAGTTTTTTTGCTGTGAGAGGATGTGTGATAAAACTGTATTGAACATTGCCTATGACAAATATCACTATCCACAGATAGAATAGTACAACAACTTGTTGTTTCAGTGTCGGTATGGGTTTCAGATCGATCGATTCTATCTCTATAAGTAGGTGCTCACAGCAAGAAGACTTTACTGTACATGCATGTTAATAAAAATACGTCTGGATGTTAATCAAAAACATATCCTGCAAACATTTGTTAACATATAGTAATAAGTCGATAATCATCTTTAACAAAAGTTTCATATCGTTTAATGATTAAATTTCTTCAATCGTTTTTTTTTAATGTTAAATAAAAATATTTGATGCACTTTTCAATCTGATAGACTAAGTTAATAGTGAATAATCCCTAACGCAAGACTCCTTATCTAAGTTTTTGGTTCACTAAATAAATTTTAAGCAAGAAAAACAAAGATATGTCGTTCCTCTAAAAAGATAATTGCTAAAACTCTACTGAAAAATTTGGTTGAATAAAACCCATACATATTAAAACTAGTCTGAAGAAGTTGATTTATTTTCAGCATGGGAGTTCCATCATGTTTATTAGGAAGATTTTAGAGAGTGAAAGAATGTATGTATCTAATGAAAAACTGAGAAAAGAGGTGAACTGAAAGTTTCTAGACAAAATATTTGATTAGTTCTTCTGTATTTAAATACATTAGGATTTGAATTTTGTGTTCTTTCAGAATATATGCTTAGAATTTTTTTTGTGACTTTTAAGATATACATGAATTTTGAAAAGGGTCAGAAATTTTATTGCATATGTTGGCTGATATAGAAAAGAATTCTCTACAAAATGGTAACATTTTTTTTGCCAACGGTTCATGTGCAGGAATGACTTTTTACAAAGTCTATCACAAGAATCACCTTTTCAGCACAAAATGATCCTCTTACAATATTTTCTATCCACGATTTACATAAAACTGAACAATAAGTTATAGATGCTACATTAAATTGTTATTTCTAATAAATATTAAATTTCAATTGAATATTTCGTTCAAATCGAATTTTATATTGATTTAGTCTGTCTACTCGTGCCATCTACAGTAGACATAAGCATTTCCCTTAGTGATTCAGTTTCTATCCAGTGAACATAGAATATTTGAATAGTTAATATATGATTGGATAATTCTTAATATTACGATAGACTTTTGTTTTCTTGAAAGGTATAGTTTCATTTTCAAAAAAAAAAAATAATGAAATTAATAAAACCAGAATGGATTGAACATGGACCAAAAGAAAGTTTATCATCACTTCATATTAATCCAGAAGGTATTCGTGTTGCATTAGCTGGCAAATATAATGCTGTTGATTGTATACGTATATTTCGTCTTGCATCAATACTTGATGAAACATATCAACCACAATCAAGACTTCTTTGTCGTATTGATACACAATGTCCATTATGTGTTAGATTTTCATATACAAGTGATGTTCTAGCTGTTGCAAGTCGTCAAAATGTTTTACTCTATCATTTAACAGCAACAAATCCAAATGTAACAAATCGTAAGTCAGTTAAGAAATATTTTACTTATTTAAATATTTAATAGAATCAGTTCAATCATCGTCATCGTTTGGTGATTTTCCTGAAACATGGCGTCTTCGTTCAAGTTTATCATCAGGTCATGTTGCTGATATATTAGATATAGCATGGTGTCCATTAAATGATCGTTATTTAGCATCATGTTCAATTGATAATCATATATGTATTTATTCATGGCCATCAGCTACATTAACAATAACACTTCGTGGACATACAGGTTTAGTTAAAGGTTTAGCATGGGATCCAACTGGACTTTTATTAGCATCACAATCTTCGGATGGAACAGTTAAAGTATGGTCAAGTACAACATGGCAATGTGAACAAACAATTAAAGAACCATTTGATGGTTGTGCTGAATCTACATCATTTCTTCGACTTGATTGGTCACCTGATGGTACTATGTTTACAACAGCTCATGCAAAAAATAATACGTAATGATTTTATTTTATTTTTTTTTTTTTAATATCTAAACAAACTTTTTTTTGTAAAGATTTCCAGTTTCAGCTTGTGTTATACGTGGTGCATCAACAGTTGATGCTGAATTTGTTGGACATCGTCGAGAAATAACATGTGCACGTTTTTTACAACGAATTTTATTAATTAATGGTCGTCGTCGATGTTTATTAGCTATTGGAAGTAAAGATCGAACATTATCATTATGGTTAACAAGTCCACGACAACCAATGTGTATAGTTAATGATTTTTTTGCATCAGGTATACTTGATATGTCATGGTATTTAAATGATGATGAGGGTTTAATTACACTTGGTATTTGTTCACCAGATGGTGCATGTGCTTTTATTATATTTAATAAAGGTGAATTAGGTACACCATTAACACGTCATGAAATGGCTAAATTTTATAGTGATATGTATAAAGTTAATATATCATTATCGACTAAAACAATTACAAATGGGTCAGTATTAAAAGTTTCGACGAGAGAAGTTGTTTAATTAATAAATTGCTTTTGAGTCGAGAATATGTGCATTATATAAATTCAATTGAACTATGGGTTCTCTACAAAGAGTTTTGGTCTTTCGCTTAGTGTTGCGGAAATGTTGTAATTTTACGGTATTTTGCAAATAAATGCTATGGAAACAGAAGAAACTAATTTTCGATTTGAAATTTTTCATAGAGACAGATCTTATCGCGATTCCTAACTAAAGACACAATTATGATAATATTATGTTTTTACATCGCTTGTTTGTCAGAATAAGACTAAATCATAAGACTTGAATCTTTCACAATGAACCATTCTCGTAAAAACTTGTTTATGTACAAATTCTGAAAATGGACTTAAGAAATCAGTTTTTCTATTACAATGTATTTATTAAATGAAAAAAAGTCTTTTTTTTTATTTATATAATTTAAATAGTGCACCAATGATTAATGGCAATGGTCATAGTCATCCTGTACCACAATCCACAGTAAAAGTCACATTAGCTAATCAAACTGAACGTGTATTAGGTGATGGTCGTCGTTGTATTAAACCGATATGCATTGATACTCATACTCCTGCTTCAGCAGTATCCAAAGTTCCATCACCGCCACCACCACCACCTCCTCCTACTACTTCGAATTCCTCATCAATTCCATCAGTTCGTCGTATGCCTACAATACCAGCCGATCCAAAACCTACTAAAGGTGTTATTCGATCATCAACTTCATCAATTACATTGCCTTCATCAATAAGTTCAACTGCATTATTTCCTCCTCTTAAATTACAACCAAATTTAATACGTAAAATTAATAATGAATATGAATTACGTACAGAAAAATCAGATCAACTTTATATATTATCATGTATTAATGAAAAAACAAAATTAGTACAATGGAAAAATGTCTTTCAATCACCATTACTTGCTATACAAGCAACAAAAAATTTTATTGCTATTGTTACTTTACAAGAAACGCAACATTGTTCAGAATTATTTATTTTACAACGACAAAGTGGTTTACGTTTATATTCAAATATTGTTCTAACACAAACATTAGCTGGTCTTTATATATCAGAAAATACAAATAATATACAACGAGCTACAATTTCACTTATTTATATGACTGGATTATTAACTGTATTTGATATAACACGTAATTCAATGACATGTCCTATTATTGATGTTAATATTTCACATTTATTACCACCACATGCATCCATAGTTGATATTTTTACATTAAATCATATTAATTCAGATACTGTTTGCTTAATAACGAGTTAGTATTATTTTAAATTTTTTTTATGCCTACAAGTCACTAGTCAGTGTTCTATACGTATAAACAGAATAGACATGTAGACAAGCAGAGCTCAGGTCAATCAGTAATAAGAGGAAGTCAAATGTAAAACTTGTAACCCGAGCATTATTTTAAGAACTAAGAACGCTGGTTCCAGTTCATAACAAGGCATTTGAATAGTTAGACTAGAAGAATCAATAATTTGATTGAAAATGTAGATCCTAATGAATTATGAATGTTATAGTCTTCCTCAAGAACACTAGGGGAATTCGTTTTGAAATTTCGATTGGAAACTCTGCACAAAGACAGGTGAGAATCAGGAAAGTTTTCGATCTTTTAATTTGTTCTTTTCTTGAAACAAGAAAATCAAATCTGTCGATGATATGTCAGTAATATAAAAAACAAATTTTTATGATAGCTATATCTTAGAATAAGAACAACAAAAACAATCGAAAAAACTTACACAATCAATTGATCTTGCTGAGTTCAGATTCTATAAAATTTCAAATCGAAATTCAAAATGAACTTCTCTAGTCTTCTTGAGAAAGACCATGTCATTAGATATAAAAGTTCAATATTTCCACAGTCATTTCTGTTTACATAATGCAAATAGTCTCGAATTAAAAGTGATTTATCAGTTAGTATAAATGGTTCTATACTGAGATGCACATTTTCAGCATTCTTTTGTTTAAGAAATGCGTTAAGAGAAAAACAAGGACATAGTTGGCATCATCAAGAAAATTGTATCGAATAATGTGTCATTTGTTAACTGTTTTAAACAAAAAATTTTAGGATAAGAATTCTCTCATGTATTTTTAGTAGAAAGTAAGCCATGTGCACGAGCTCTACAGAAATTACCGATTAATTAGCATACTCTTTCTCCTTCATTTATAAAATTTGAGTAATAAGTTCATAATTCATAGTATAATTACTTGTATTAATCATTTATTTTAATTTTATAGGCACAGGACATTTATATGGATTTGATAATACGCTCAAACATTGGACATGTTTATTTCATAAACATGATTTTGTTTCTGATTTTGCTCTTCCATCTGAATTAACATCTTCAGGTCCATTATCATCATTAACTAAATCATATGGTGCTACAATGAACGATGACGTTTATCAAAAAACTTTATATTCATCACCAAATCGTGAACTACTTGTATCAGCATATCTTGAAACTCAAATTCAACGATCTCGTATACTTCATTCATCACGTGAATATTATTTTTGGTTAACAAGTTTCGTTCGTTTTCTTGCAAGTTCATCGCTTGATGATAAATCATTAAAATTAAAATCAATATTAGATCATGTAGCTGAACATGTACATAGTACGCCAACAAATTCAAATATAAATTTTATGCCTTTAAAAAACAAGGATGAATATCAAAATTTATTAAATGAATGTTTAACTATTCTTCGTAATCATGATGATGCATCAACATTAGTTCAACATTATGAATAAATAACAAGGCGCGTTTTAGCACCGATATTTTTCTTTTTTGTCTAATGTTTGTATATATTGTATGGATAGAAAAATCATGAACAACTAACAGTGCAATAGAAATGGATATATAAATATTTTTTTTTGTTATCTTTTGGTACATATTTGTGTGTCGTGAATAAAAAAAAATAAATGAAAACATGACATAAAGTGAATTAAAATACAAATAGTTAATTATGGTGAAACAAATAGTGTTTTTATTCACATATTAAGAAGGACAAATACCACATGAAAATGTGGTTATCTTGGTATGGATGTCGCGATTGTTTTCATTGGCACGCGAATAAAAATAATCACAATTTCAGGCACTATATATCCTAAGAAAATTTTCTTTAATAAAATAATGAGAAGCAAACTATACCACCTTCTAGCCCATGAAGAATTACATCAAACCTTCAAGAGAAAGTCCATTGTGAAACTATTTCAAAAATGATTGATTGGTCCAAACCTCTATGACATTTCTAATATGTCGATAAAAACGATACTTGTTTCACCAAAATAAACTGCTCTGTTCTTTCAAATGAAACTACTAACATCTAGGCGAAAAAATGATTTGACAAACTTATCGTCAATATGTTGTCGGTTCCATGAAGTGAAAATATTGTATAGTTATGTGTGTCGGAATGAGTGTGGGTGTAGAGGGAGGGGGAGGGTGTGAGGTGTAGGGCGTGGGTGTTGGTACTGCATTGCCCAACTACTCTCATAACCACCCACACTCACATCCCACACCCTTCCAAAGTCATCGTATTGTAAAACTAGCCAGAATGGAGTCAATTGATGTCCAGTGTGCAATTTCTAGGGATATTCTGAAAAACCCAGTAGCTTGTTCAAAATGTTAGACTGTATTCTGCTGTGCATGTAGAACTGAATGGCTAAGAGGAAATAGAAAACACTGTCCGATGGGTTGTAAATCATTTGAGCAATGACCATGTCTCAAAGTCATCAAGACGCTACTAACACAAATCAAAGTCACTTGTGAATTTGAGCCGAATGGCTGTGTGAAGGTCAGTAGTCTTCTTGTACTACTTACTCATTCATTTGTGTGTTTTGTTCTATCTCATTTCATGTGAAGGACTTGATAGACATGAGCAAGAGTGTGGTTATCAATCTAAAAAAACGTCCTGCTTGTGATACAGATTTTTTGAAGAAGAATTTAGCTGATCATGTGGCTGTTTGCCGACTAATCGAATTGACGTGTCCAGATTGTGCTATTAGTTATAAACGATGTGATACTGCTACGGTTCATACAGAGATGATCTGCATTCAAAAACAAATACGGAAGTCAGAAGCGAAAGAATAACGATTACAGAAAGTAATTGAACAAAATAAACGAAAACATGAACGAACTATGCAAGAATTACGTGACATTTACAATAGTTGCATTCAACTACGAAATAAACGCAGCAAATCCCTTGAGTAACTTGAAAGCATAATGAACTAAAATATGATCTAATGTGTTGGATTGTTTTTGAAAATGATACTGCGGTTACGTACAGATGAGTATGAATGTGTGGGTATCGGTATGACTTTTCTTGATCCAGAGTCACACTTACATCCACACACATCCGCTGATTAAGTCGAATTACTATCTACTATTCCTTTTACTATTGTACATTCATACTTCTGTAATATAATGAACTTTTCTGTTTCTTTTTCAAAAAATTCAAATTTATTAACTATGTTAGCGTAGTGACATCAATCAGATTGAACGAATCTTTCGTTATACCACTAAGAAGTAATTCACGAACTATGAAATAATCAAATGTCCTTGTTGTGGAGGGAAGATTCAGTCGCTAGAATTGTTTTGGATCTTTACGTCCTACTGGAATGCTATATATTGGCAATAATCTCATTCAAAAAAGCGATTTTATCCACAGACAGATTTCATTATCAGCTTCGCTCACGCCTGAACATCAACTAAGCCACTGCCTATAGCACAGCTCGAAGCAAAAGTATAGTTTTCTAAGGTGATTGGCATCAAAAACTTAAAACTTCATATGGTTTTCACTTGTTCTCAGATATTTTACATCATCAAGCGATAAGGATTAGATCAAAACTAGATTCAAGTATTCTCTATTCAATGACGAAAGACTTTTTAACAAACAATGTATTCAAAAAAAAAGTGTTCATAAAAATGGAAAAGTAGTTTGGAGCTGATCCCAGTCACCCATCTTGAAGTAATTCGAATCATTAAGAGTGTGGGTATGGCTGTGTGGGTGTGGGTATGGATATGGGTGTCGGTGGTGGTGGGGGTGAGGGTGGAGGTGGATGTGGTATGGGTGTGTGAGGGTATGGTGTGGGTATGGGTATGAATGAAGAAAAGATTAACATCTACATCCACCTTAAAACTTTTCATACGAACAAACAAAAATGCATGTGTCAGACGAAATATGTTTACTGGTATGATGTAGATTTAAATCTTGTGATTTGAACAAGTCTATAGTATGCACTCTGAGGTAAATACTATGCTACATGTTAATAATTGTTGTCTCTGAACATAATGTCAGACACTAACAACAACAGTTTCAATTGCCTCTGGACAAAAAAAATCAACTTCTATACTAATATTGTGGTATGTCACGATAAAAATTTGTATCGTATAATGATGTTCAAATGATACTTTTATTATATTTTCAAGTATTTTAATTCGTTCAAATCAATTCAGTCTATCTATTACCTTGGATTAGATCCATCTGTAAGAATAAAATTCAAACTTTTTTTCTCTAATGCATGAAAAAAAGAGGTCTATCTAAGAAATATTTTCTTATTTTCTATAATATTTTTAAAAACAGAAACGATATTTCCAATTAACTTATACTTGTTGATTTATGATCATTGATATTTTAACCTCAACAAAATACTGGTTTAAGGAGGCTAGCTCTTTCGTGATCGAAAATTATTACATTTTTCTTTTTGGTTTTTCTTTACTGTACACGCGTTGAAGTACTCTGTATCTAGGGTATGGGTGGGATAGGTGTACTTCTTCATCTGATTCACACCCTCATACATGGATTGTCAAATATAATAGTTCATTAAAACTCATGCAGAGTATGTTTATTCTTCAAATAACTAATTATTTTGTCATTGTTCTGAGAGGTATTATCGTCCAGATAATACTTCAATATACAACTTCTATCAGTAGACTTTCTTTGAATACTGATGGATATTAGGAAACAGTTGTCACAGAAACATCAATACAAGAAATACTTTTCAAGGTGGAACTCCATTCATATCCGAATGCACTGAGACGATTTCAAACGACTTCCAGCGCCGCCACTACTTGAGCTGGGGAAAATCGTAATTAGCATCAGTATTAAGAGCATGCTCTTTTACCATTATTTTTCAGCATCTCACATGACTTTTTTCTCTGTTTCTTTTTTTTGACGAAAAGTCTTCAAGTATCGAGCGAGATAAGATTAATGTATCATGGTGTCTTTTTTGTGCTAGAACAAATTTGTTCTCTGTGACAAATGAAGATTACTTCGATATTTATACCACAAAATATATATTAAAAAACAAGGATTGCTACAAATATACAGACCTGATCTAGAAAGATCTCTTTTCTATGAATATGTATTTGGATGGGTTTGAACTGCATAAGTAGATTGATGTTGTTGATTAAGCGCATTCATGTACATCTATGTGCCTATTTTTTCATTTTATCTCGTTTTTCTTTTCATTTTTTATCATTTGTTACCTCTATTTTCTTTTTTATTGATTCTTTTTTCTCTCATATTGTTAAAAATGCAATAATACAAGCTACATTTATTTTAATATGAGAGATGACGAAAATCGGGTTTAGTTAACTCCGGTTATTGTGACTTTCAGCTTTGTATTATATATTGGTAGAAAAAAAGCTTTAGTACGTCTATGTTGACACTGTCTAAAATATGTAAGAGTGATCGTTTTGTAGATTATAAAAAGAACGTACAGAGACTTTCCCAAAACTTCCGTGAAAAACTAAACAAGTTTCTCTAACACAACTGAAGTGGTTTCTATGAATTTTGATAGAATAAAAATAAACTTTTTCTAACTTTTATCGACTACACTCCCTGTTATATCCTTATGTCTATAAATATGAGGATAAGAATAACTTTATTATCGCTTCATTATTTGGATTACATACAATCATAAGGCAAAACTGTTCATTGCATTGAACCAAGAAAGGATTGGAAGTAAATTGGCTACGAAGTATTTACAAGACTATTATGAAACTAGTACCACTACACATTAATAACGCTCTGAATGATCTTCAGAAATTAAAAAAAGAAAAACAAAAAGACAACGAAAACCATAATGCTTGACTAAATCTATCCCACTAAAATATTCAGCATTTGACAATATATTACTTATGTGTACCGTAAATAGTTAAGAAAGAGCGACAGGAGAAGAAGAGAATAGTAAAAGAAAGAAAAAAAAAGAGGCGATAGGCGAAAGAGAAAAAAAAGCAAACGAAATGTGCTTTATGTATTTCAAGGTTGATCATCCAACCAAACAATGAATATCGAGTAGCTGACTGATAACGCATGTCGCATCATGATGACATCTTCATTCAACAAACTTGTTCGTAACTAATTTCTAAGAAATATAGATTATTTAATGGGTTAATCGATAAAATTCAGCTGAAAGATTTTATGAGTGAGTTACAATTAGAACTATTTCAATCGTCTGTACAACTTACTGATTTGGCTTAGGATTAACCCATGAAAGCCCTAACTCAATCATTACCCGTGTCAAACCAATATCCAGTCGGTATGTCTTATTCGTATATTCGTACTCATATTGTTCTATGATCTTTTTGTGGTCGTTCTAGATTACATTTCTATATTCTTGTGTAAGCGCTTCGAAGCGTAACAGTAAACAGAAAAAGTAAAAGAAAAAATTATAATAAGAACATTCATTCCGTTATTATTATTTTTTCTTATATATAAGCTTGTCATTTAATATATTCAATGAGGGAA